ACACGCACCATCTGTTCTGCAGCGGTGGTAGTATGGGCCCCAGGCGGGAGAGGTGGCAGCATGGCTGGACCGGAGTCACCTCCGCTCAGCTGCATGTGCCTGTCTTAGATGTTTGAGTCAGACAAAAACATGCCTCTCTTGTAGAAATCCTCTTTCTCTTATATCCATGTTATACTCAACGTTATACTCTTCTATGCTGTTGAGAATTTTTGGAAAAAAAATTCAACCAGAATAATACATCTATGAGAATACAGTGATTATTTCAAATCTAAGTTGAGAAAATTGGTCTTGGAAAGAATCAAATATTGCATGCATTTCTAGTGGCAGCAAACATCAACCAGGTAGGGGTCTTGCCACTGAGCTAAATTCCCAGCCCTTGACAAAATAATTTCAAACTTATTCACTTCACAAATAAATTTTAATAATTTGTCTCAGTCAAGTGAATTTTACTCATGGAATGCTGAGCTGACAAGGTGTTGGAAAACTGATCGATATATGTAAGTGACTAAAGGGCACAAACAGCATTGAATAGGAGACCAGCAAATGATAAGGCCTAGGTGGAGGTGTGGATGCTCCCAGCTGAATGCAGCATTTTAACTGTTGATTCTCCAGTCACATCTGTCTATGTGTCTGTGTGCATTAACTGGCAGATGATTTTGGATTCCAGGTCATGAAACAATTACTAGATTATGTTGCTACATGTCTGGGAATCGACCCTAGAACATTTTAAACTATGGCTTAGGTTTTTTCCCTAGTAAGATAATTTTGCTTTGAATATGTACACTGGCATTTCTTTTCCTCTTTCAGTTCCAAACAAAATCATGATTCCTAATATTCAGCTATAAATACCTCTTTGTTTTCTTATATAAATAGAATTTTCTCAGGTCTATGATGCTGATGATGAGAAAGAGAGAAACCTTTGCTGCAAAGGAGCTTCTTGACCCCTTCTACAAAAATTTCCTAATACATTCAAAGCCTGGATACATCTGAGCAAACTCTCACCATTTTAAGGTAATGCAAAGACGATGTGGGAAAGCCAGCCTCAACTCTGCTTCTTTGGGGGTTTATGTCATGACTTGTATCACTGGGTGTGTGTATCACTTGCATCATCTGGTGACAGTAATAAGTTGCAACATTGTCAGGCTCCAGGCTGCTAATGATGACAGTGAAATCTGTTCCACACCCCTTGTCACTGAATCTTGATGGGACACCAGACCCCAAATTGATTGCATAGTGGATTAGACATTTAAGAGCTTTCCCTGGTTTCTGTTGATGCCAAGATACCCATTTTCTTATGACCTTTCATGCCTGGCATTTGATTGTGACAGTCTCCTACCAATGAAGATATGGAGGAGGGAGACTGGGTCATCTGGATGTCAAATTTGTTATGTATCATTGGAAACAAAAAAGCAAACATTCAGATAATTGAACATGATAAAAGAGAACATTACTGAAGAACCAGACAGCACTGATCACGTTAGGCTATGGAAATTTCCACTGTTCTCCTTCCATACCAGGAGTGTAGAGAAGCAAGATCCCCAGAAGTTGACCGGATATCCTCATGTCTGCACTGTGGCCTGACTGGGAGAGACTCTTGCTCATGGTGCGTTCAGGGAAGGGGCTGTTCTGTGGTCTCATAAAAATCAGCAAGGCTGTACACCACTGCAGATCAGGCTCCTGTCATTAACTTAGCACAGCCCTAGTGTCCATAGTACCAGTGGTACCAGAACAGTTAAAGAGGACAGATTTCCCTAAGGACAGCAGATTTCTCCCTTTAGGATACTTTGTTATTAAAATAGAGAAATTATTGAGATCCTAAAATGAATCAGTCTACATTTATATTATGTTTTGCAGGTTGGGTTTTGTAGAGGAATACTGGTATTCAGAAAAAATGCATGTTACAATAAGTCTTACAGTATAGGTTATGAGTTCTTAAACTTCCTTTTAAGTTTACAGACCCAGGCAGACATAGCAAATGGATGACAAATGCCAAAATTTGGTCTTTTCTGAATGGTCTTGGTGTCATTTGTGTCTATAGTGGGTTACCTGTCTTCTGTCTTATAGATAAATGCTACTTAATTCCTTTTACTGACTTTGTTTGCAGCATTGTTTAAAAATTCCTGAAGCAAAGTGACACTTTCCCTATTCAGAAGATAAAGGGGCCTAATCTGTGATAAGGAAAAAATATAAAGTGCATGTATTAAGGAACACAGAAGGAATAGATGGGAACTCTAGGCAGCAGTTTCTACAGATCTGAGGGACAAAATAAAAATCAGTGATTTAACCCTGTGCCCAGGGAAACCTCCTGCTTTGGGAATAAGTAAATTTAAAAAATTAAAATGTAGTTCTTATTAGATATAAATATTAAATATAGTAATATGTGTCTATATTTTATCATTTATGGCAATGCAACAGAAATTCTTGCCACTAACTTGTGTGGTGGGTGGTTTCAATTTAAGAAAGTCATAAAATGAAACTGAGTGTCCTAGATCCAAACAGAGACCAAGAAATAATGGACCATAAGTGTGATTATGTTTGAGTTTATGTTTTGAGGAAACTCGAGGTTGCAACTCTGCTGCCTTGTATTCTGTCTCTACAGGAATGGGAAGAGTCCTTGAATTGACAAGGGCATCCATTGTCCCCCTGGCCCAACAATGTTAGTGCTCCATGTGAGGAGTCGCAAGAGTGAAAGACAGGCCCCCAGAAATAATATTGTTCATCAGAATCTGGAATTAAATGAAAGCTCTCTGAGGTACATCATTCTATTTAATTACAGAAAATGCCCTTGGTGAGTTTGACCCTGATAAGCTTATTGGCTTAGCTGTCATCATCAGAGATGAAAAATAGAATGAGAGAGAAAGAGAGAGATACAAAAAAGGAGACAGAGACAGAGAGAGACAGAGAAAGACTCACAGAATGGTTTAATATATGAAAATCCTCAGGCAATGAATAAGACTGGATGCAGCTCAGGGTTTATAACTCTACTCATGAGCAAAAGCCCCAGGTTCCCTGGTTACACTAGGACAACACCTATTTAGATTAGAGACTGTGGTTACTTCTTTTTTTTTGTCTTTTTATTTTATTTTATTTTATTTTTATAGTTACCAGGGATTGAACTCAGGATCGCACACTTGCAAGGCAGGTGCTTATGCTGCTGAGCTAAATCCCCAGCCCCAAGACTGTGGTTACTTATAAGTCACACTGGAGTGCATTAGTCTTCTTTCCTGTAATTTTGAGGGATGTTTCCATGTCGTTGCATACCACATGCTTTCAGTGTTTTCTTTCCTAAGAAGAGAGGATACTATAGAAATATCACAGCATCAGAAACCACAGGGAAGTTTGCAGATTCTTCATTTTGATGCATTTGAATCTTATTTAAGGCAGAGAGTCTCTCTCCCTGCTGTGGTCTTTGAAGATCTTGGTAAAAGGAAAGATTTAAAACAGTAAAATATTAATCCAGGAAGCAATGCAAAGTAGAATTTTTGCCATGGACAGGTTTGTAAGTCCAGTGTGAACTGTCATATCCAGCTCAGGTTTCTGTGGTCCTTACCTTCAAAGGCTTTGTCCCATCAATTCCTTGTAGTCCTGCTGACATCAGGGACCAAGCTCTGTCTTAGTTCTGCATGTCATTCCATAATAGGCACATGAGTCCTGATTTTCTGAGATTCTTGCTCACACCGTTTTCTATCTGTGCCTAAACTTTGTCCTTCACCTACAAATTCCAAACAGCTGTGAGTCTTTTGTTTTCCAAACTGAACTTTGTGATGGTGCATCATGGAAATTTATATTGTAGCATGCTGATGAAAGACCCAGAAATCTACTTAACTTGTATAGTTTTGTAGTTTTTATTCTGGAAAATCTGTAAAAATAGCATATTTTAATAAACTATAATCTTATAAGAGCACCATAATCATATTGAATTCAATAAAATACTTTTATATACGCTATACATTAATTTGAACCTAAAATTGGAATCTTGGTTGACAACCCTAAATATGGTGTCAATAAATGGAATATACACACCACTGAAATGAGGACATTGTACACATGTTATATCTCTATCTCTGAATGGATTTGCCTGCAGAGAATGTGCTTTATTGTGTGTGCCAATCCAGTGCATCATTTCAATATCCCACATGTGCAATGTTCTCTTTATCACTTTCTGAATCATTATACACTTTCCTATAATCTCTTCCATCTCAATAGGGGCTGAGCAATGGCACCCAACACCAAGAAGAGTGAAAAGTTTTAAATAACACAGTATAGAGAGTAGCATTTATTCCAGAATGAGCTGCTGCACAGTCCTAATTTATAAGAAATGTTGCTAACACTGTTTTTATTGCTAAGCAATCTGTCTTTCTCTGTATATGAATTCTCTGTCCCTCTATTTTCACTAAAGTCAGCTAAGGTAGAACATTTTTACCTTTGATATCGAGAGTAGTCTTCATCGCGGAGCTCATGAGTTTCCACCTCTATTCTTGTTGACTTCTGGATGGCTCAGAGAGCCAGACTTACTGCCACTGAGGATGAAGGTGTCAGCCAATTCACATGTCTATTCTGGGTGTCATCTGCTGAAGAAAAGTGGTAGAAAATACAATAGGAACCACAAATGAGAGAAAATTTCGCAATTTGGATCCTTTACACATTTTCACATTTGTTATGCCCACATTACTACACCGTGATACAATAAAAATATAATAAAATATTTTTGCCATTCTCAATGTAAGGACTGATGGTGGCATAAACTTTGCACTTCTTCACCTTGGGGTCATCGCCACTGTCTCTGCAGATTCACTCATTTCTGGGACAGGCCTGTTAGTTTTCCATCATTACTCCTCATGAAATAGAGAAGATCTTGGGAGCAGGGTTTCCCCAAGCCCTGGGTATTTGTTCCACAGTTCAATATCTTAGCCTGAGGAAAAAGAGTCCCATTCAGGAAATCTGTGTCATAGCCTCCGAGGCTTCTCTGGAGAAACGGGTACACAAAGGAGCCTCCTTGTTCACCTCATCGCATCTTTCACATCCCTACGTATTGCTTCAATTTGTAGGAAGCCATACACCCTTGGCCCCAGCAGAAGACAATCAGGAGTTTCTGTCATAGACCCTGAGCAAGAAGCAACTGGGCCCTGAGGAGCGAATGGGGTTTTTGTTGTGGTCTGCATCACTGTGGGTGGATAACTGCTATACTGCTGACAGTAATAGGTTGCAACATCTTCAGCCTCCACGTTGCTGATTGTGAGAGAGAAAGAAGTCCCTGACCCACTCCCACTGAAGCGAGCTGGGACTCCCGAGGCCAGCTCTGATTTTTCATAAATTAGGAGCTTGGGAGAGGCTCCTGCCTTTTGTTGGTACCAGTGCAAATAGTTAATGCTTACACTGGACCTGACTATGCAGGTGATGGTGACCTTCTCCCCTGGAGAAGCAGCCAGGGATGCTGGAGTCTGGGTGAGCACAATTTGTCCATTGGACACTATGGTCATGGAGGAGAGATGAAAAGAGATGATAAGAGTTAGTACATGCAGAGCGAAAGGGATGTCACATCAAATAGCACACAGGAACAGCAACCACAAACTTGCTTTAATCTCAATTTCTACTCAAAAAGAGGCTCAGTTTTGAGTTTCCTTTTTTCTTACCTGTGACACAGAGCAGTAGAAAGGGGAGAATTTGAGCCTGAAAATCCATTGTGTTTTTTGAGCTCGGCCTCAAGCTAAACAGGTATCAGGCTTTAAATAGAACTCTGAACATTTTGTGGTTTCTCAGCAAGAGATATGCAAATCAGCAGGGTGCAGGTGTTCCCTGGCTCACCCATGTGATACTTCAACTTTGTCATAAAAATTAGAATTTCTAATGGAACAGGGATATGTTCATACTTTTTTTCTGAACTGATGTACATTTGTGGCAAGAAAATTATATCAGTAATTATTTGAGGATGTTACTTTGACCAGACTAGCCAAGAGAGTCCTGCTGGACAGTATGGAAAATATTTTCTCAAAATAAATAGCTCTCAAGATGCCCAAGTAGATGCAAGGAAAAGAGCAGTTTAAGATCCTATCCTTGTTTTTACTGCTAACCAGATAAGTAGTTCTTCTGGTTGCAGCTTAATAAAGGACCCTTGGACTTGGAGATGATAGTGGCCTTCTCTTTGCAGACATAGCCAGCAATCCAGGAGACTGCCTCTGTGTCTCCACAGCTACTTGTAATTAGAAATTCATGTCACATTATTAATGTATCAAGAAAAAAAATATTGTGTTTGTTTATTGAAAAATCAGGTCTAAAATTTTTTTTCCATCCACAAGATAATATCATTGTTGACTTTTAAATAATATCTTTCTAAACTTCGTACCCAAGACTCAGAGTACCAGGAAGAGTAGGAATAGGGACAGTGACTCCATCCTGCCTTGGTTCAGCTGTCTGAGCCACTCTGCACTATAGTCGCCTGATAAACTCTATGGGCAGAGTTGTCAGTGGGCAGCCTTTATCTCAGAATCCTGTGTAAAGCATCAAGAAGATAAAAGTGATAGAAACAGCACCAGGATGAACCATGGCATTAAATAACTGAAATAGAAATAAAAAATGCCTTTAATCCACGAAATGTGATTATGTGTCCACACGTGTCAAGGCATAAGTTTCAAATTATAATTCTGAACCAAATTTCCAAATCTCTTACAAAACTGCTGCTGCCAACTTGAAAACAAAATCTATATTTGCTAACCTTTTTTTTTCATGTCAGCTCATGATTTCAAAGTTTTATTGAAGCATTCTAATTACACCAGCATATAGAATGTATTTGTGGCACTGGATGGAATTAAGACAGTAGGCAATTCATACCTCTGTCTCAGGTTGTTTTTTTCAATTTTAAATACTTATTGGATATTCCTCCTAGGTATATATCTCCTAGACATCTCAATTTATCCCAACCAGATCTCTGGTTTTTCCTTTATGATGAAACATACTCAGAAAATATGATCACTTCCTTAGCAATCACCGTGTCCCTAGTCCTCACTTTCTCAATGTACAGTTTCTCAATGAACCTCTCAAGTTCACTGAAATTTTTTGGTGTCAACAGATCTAATACACTGCAGCTCCTCCTGTGGGTTACAGATGAAGTAATTGGAGCCCCCAACTCCTGGTAGGCTATTCTTTATTAAACTGGAATGAAACATAAAATATTCGTTAAACCATGAAATAACAGTGCGATTAATTTCTATATAACAGTACAAAATTAAGAGCATCCTTGCCCTGAGTCACATGGCAGAACAAGTTTGGACCACATTGAACAAAATCTCTGCCAATTTAGAACATCCATTTTCAGGCAAGGAGTGTATAAAAAAATGAAGAAATCATATTTCTGCAGCTCCTCCTACTCTGTTCCCTTTGACCTTTTTTTCCCTGAGGCGCCACCATTACCCAGAGCAAGTAGGGGAATGGGGTCCAGGTCCATTTAGTGTCCCCTCCTTCATCAACTTGGACTGATCCAGAGGACAGGCAATAATTTCATGCAATTGAACATTTGTGTTTCCCCAGAAATAAATCCAATATACATTCATTAACGTTCAGTGTCTCAAATCATATTTTGATTAAATACATCACTGTATCAATCTACCATCTCACTACACCTAGAAATCACCAAAAATATAAATTCAATGTCCAGCTGATGTCTTACATGAAAACAAACTGGAACCACTAGTGGCAAAGCACCATTCATTATTCTTAGGTTTCTTATTCATTTTCTATGTTTTAATTCTTTGTGGGGAACTGTAGGAACTTACAAAGACGCGTTTATTATGTTGAAAAAAGATTTTCATTTCGGGCTAAGCAGCACTTACCCCACTGGGTTGAAACCATTCCCCGTTTTTTTTTTTTTTTTTTTTTTTTTACCTGTTTACCTAGGAGGAGAGCAGCAGGAGGTGCTGTAGCTGAGCCAGGGCTCCATGGCCATGCTGTGTCCTGAGTGGGGCTGACTCCTTCGTGGAGTGTGAGCAACCTGTGAAATTTTCCTGAAACTGTTCCCTGGACACAGTTTAATTCCCAGATGCCCATCTATTTTGGATATTATTATGTGTGATAGTATAAACAAATTTTCTATGGAAAATGAGATCATATAGTAGCCATTGTTCATTCTCTGTTATTTGGTTCTGAAAGCCCTTTAATGCTTTCATTCTCTTGAGTGGTTTTATAATGTTTTGTTATATTTGATAATATCATATATGAAGTTATGCTCAACTATTTCAAAGCAAGAGACATTGTGGTAGTTGCTGTTAATTATGGGCTGGCCTGTGGTAAAATGCTGTGTTGCTTGTATTATTCTGATTTGATCTGCTTTGTTATGTTCTCTTTTATCTTAATCTCTTTAAAATAAAAAAAATGAAAAAAAAATCCCGCATTATATTCACTCTAGGCAACCTAAAACCCTGAACACATGCAAGGAGGAAGGCTAGGAAATATACAGGAAAAGTGTGAGTACCAGGACATGAAACTTTCCGAGTGAGTGCTCAGATTTATATTTTTCTCTGATATTATATGTCACATCTCCTATTGGTTCATTTTATGTTCTTATAACAAAAAACTGCAATGCTTCTTTTAATTTTAATGTGCAGAAAAGAATTTAAAAAATGAAAAATAATATAGGGTTTCATAAGATAATACAAAATTAACAATGGCAATTATATTGCATAGTGTAATCTTCAAAAAAGTTGTTCAGATTTACCAGATAGAAATGCATGATCAAGCAGTATAAGCACTATTCCATTCCATGAAATAATAAAATTAGTAGTATTACAATTAGCTTTACAACTATATATATATATATTTTTTTTTTCCTTCCTTCTTTTCTCCTTTCTCCATCCATGTTATTTTTTAGGCATTTTTTTTCCTTTTCATAATATTTACTCTTTCCTTTTTTTATAATATGGAGACACTGCAATGTTTTCACATGAATGTCTGGTTTATTTCACTTATGAATATGTTCTCTATTTGCATCCATTTAGCTATACAAACCTTGAGTTTGTCTTTCTTGAGAGCTGAGAAGTTATTCCATTGCATTAAAATACTATGTCAATTTATCCATTAATGATTGATGGACTTGTATTGTTTCAAGATTTAGCCATCACAAATAGTGCTGCTAAAACATGGGAGAACACATATCTCTGTGGTATGATGTTTTTAAATCTTCTGGGAAAATATCTAGAACGGGAATACTTGGGTCAACTGTGGCCCCTCATTCTAGCTTTTGAGAAATTTCCACAGTAATTTCCACAGTGATTTCACTAGTAGATACTCCTACCAAGAATGAAGAAGTGTTGCTTTTTTTCCACAGCCCTGCCAATCTTAGTTATTGGTTCATTTCTTAAGGGTAACCATTGTTTCAGTGGGGAGTCAGAATCTCAGTGTCTGTTAGGGTTTACATCTCCTAAATGAACAGTGATGCTGAACAGTTTGCATGTATTTATTTGCTCTTTATATTTCTTCATTTGAGATAAGATGCTCAGTTTTGGATTGGATCTTTAAATTTCAGGGACTGAATTTTTTATTACTGTATATGTTTTTTAATAACAGAATTTATTTCTTACAGCTCTGGAGATGAAAATCCAGTACATGGTTTCAGCATCTGTTTAGCAAATGATGAAGGATTTGTGTTTCACCATAACACAGAGAAGGTATAATGTGGGGAGGCACAGGTAGCTCGGTTCTCTCTTTCCTTTCGAATTTCAGCATGTGGACCTCATCCTTATTACCTCATCTAACCCAGATCACCTCCCGAAGTCTGAATCATCATTGCCCGTTACTCAAGGACATATGCTTCCAAAATATAAATTTGAGAGAACACATCCAAATCATTGCATTTTTCTTTTTCTTTTTTTTAAATTTTATTTAAGGAGAAAAAGAAAAAAAGCAGAAAAAGGGTACAAGTTATACAGAATTTCAGAAAAAAATAAACAGTAGGAAATCCCTAGTTAATGGATTACATATTGTCATCTTAGAAATATTTGTTCAAGTTACAAAATTAAAGCTTATATAGTGGACATTCAAACAGTAAGACCAAACAGTTCTGTTCAATGATCCAACAAAACTGAGTAATATCATTGTCTATCTTATACACTTAAATATACATGCAGTTATATCATTTAGAGCACTTTCTTTTCCTCTCTTTTGTACAATGACTATTGCACATTTTGGGTTTTACTGCTCCCACAGTTCTTATTACTTTTTTTGGAAGAGAGTAAAACCAAATGTGACATAACAGAACAGAGTCGGTCAAATCAAAAGGGTGGACATGATAGATAATGTAAAAACAATAATACAAGGTGATCAACAATGGTTACCATAACGCCTCCTGCTATCTCTAATAGAACTGCCCATATCATCAGTTATAATAAAATTGAACAAAACAGTAAAGAACAAAACCAACAAAACCAAAACATTGGAGACATTACAGGTCTTCAAAAGTAGATAATAGTCAACCAGAATGGGTGTCATAATGAATCCCACTATCTTCACAGTTGTTGCCTATACTTTCGAACCTGGTACTATTAAGCAAAACAGAATAGGGGAACATCAGTCAAAACAAGATGGTGAGAGCAATACAGGGCTTCAAATCAAGTTAATAGTAAATCAAAGTGGATTACTGTAATATATCCTTCTATTTTTAAATTTATTTTTCCCTTAATTAAAAGGATAAAAATAAAGAGTAAATAATATAA